TTTTTACTAATGTTTCAGGTTGTTTAGAATTGGATTGTTCAGTATTAATTGAAGATTCTTCTGGTAAATCAACAATTATCTCCAATTTTTTTGTTGGATTTTTTGCTGACAATCTTTTAGTTAAATCATAAGTTTTATTGGCATTAGTTTCCTTTATATGGGTTCCAATATCTGGAGAAAACATTCCAGGAGATACAGGTTCTTCAAAATTTCTCTTAACTTTTTTATCAATTACAAAAGTTGAATTCGCTGTTGGACAAGCAATAGAGGCTATATCCATAAAAGTAGATAAAGCTCTTGCTCGGCTGGCTCCTAAAATAAAACCAAGATAATAATTAAAAAAGAAATTTTTTAATCCAAAATTATCTATAACTTATTTAAAAGTAATTATTATAAATATACATATTAGCATTGATTATAAACTCTATGGATCACTAACTGTGGTACAAATTTTATTTTTACCACAGTAAGCAATATAGTATTTATAATCAATGATATTGGGGATAGGTAAACAAACATATAACAATTAAAAACATGACATTTAAATACAATTAATTTATAGCTTAATTTATTTATTTACCAAGAGTTAGTCAAGATAAAATTTATATAAAGAGGAATACTAATTTATTTTTTTAAATACACAACAATATATATATAAATCAGTTATTACTTGTAGAAGATCCAAAACTGCTGATAGTTGATGATTCTCTAATGCCTTTTATTTTATCTGATGCAATCTATAAAAGTTCAAATATATATTGATAATTTATTAAATATGATATAACATATATACTTCATAGAAAACAATAATATATCTAAGTAAATTTATCATATATATTTCAAGATAATACAGACAAGTAAAACATTAGTTGACTTAAATGAACTTTAAACAGTACTTATAACCAAAATGAAAAGAAAATTGCAGAATGATTGTACTCTTTGATAAAAATATTATTGATACAGTTTGTTTCTACTACAACAGGTAAATAAATATAATTTWAAAAAAAAAGTGCTAAAATAGTCATAAATTTCAGTGCCATAGTCAAAATATAAAACAATTATGGGTTTGTTAAATTACCATGATATTATATTTCTAAGTTAACTGGAATAATACGATTTAAAAGTTATAATTAAAGATCCAATTTATATTTTATTAAAACATCTAAAACATGATGTTAATATTAACTAAAAATCTTAAATCTTCTCAATGTATTCTTCAAGAAATTTAAAAAATATGCATAAATAATCAATGAACATATTGATATTTTATTTAATATGCAATATTAATATTTTTTTTAAAACATTTATTGAATTTAATTTTTGATTTTATCAGCATAAAAATWATTGCAGCATTCCAAGTTAGACACGATGAATGGCACGGAAACTTATGATAGGTTATATAACACTGTGTGTGTTATTGCGGTAAATGGAAAAACGTTCACAGAAAAGACTATAAATTTATTGMAATAAAATCAAATAAAAACATAATTGTACCTACATAAATTATTAATTATTTTTTGATTGACTCTAATTATTCAAATAATAAGTAACTATTATTTTCACACAAGATTTTCTCATTAAAGCCCAATATAGTTCATAAAAATAAAGTTACGATGGTAATAAATTACATTCAAACATGCATTAAATATTAWATAAATAATAATTTTACTTTATCTAATAGGTACCTATGGATAAGTGCGAAAAAACATTGCTTATCTGTATGAGTGTTAAAAATTGTACGTGTATAATTTACTAGGGAAAATTAAGTGTTGATGTATTCCTATAATCCTATCTAATATAAGACATAATATAAAGATGAAATGTGATTTAATTTTTTTTTTAATTAAACATTTACTGGTATAATAAACAAATTAGTATAACATGTAAAACGTAATTTGTGTATTGAGTGTTAATAAATTTATTTTCCCGGTTACGTTTTTCTGGCATTTATTATTGCGATTAGTTTTACATACAATTGAGGCTTGTCTTGTAGTTCTGCGAACAGGTGGAACAGCTGGTTGTTGAAAACTTGGTTCAGCCGCAAAGAGATCTCCAACCTGATCAATTTTTGTTTCTAAACAATATAAATAATCAATTTAAACTTTACTTTTAAATAAAAATTTCACTAGTCAATTATCAGAAACTTAAAAATACTCAACAGTCAAATTTGTGTAAACACATATTGCAGGAGTAGCTCATTAATTACATGGAATAAAGTCTACAACTTACTTGATTGTCTTTTGGATATATTTTTTTCAGGCACATTCTGTGCTGATTGTAATAACTCATTATAAATAGTATCTAGTTTAGATGATTGTATCTATAATAAACGTAAAAATTTTACTTAGGTAGATATTTAATAACAAAAAGGATTAATTACTTTTGATCTTATATCTCTATACAGATTTAATAAATGTGAATAATTTAAGTAACTAACCTGAAAACAATTATCCATTTCCGTAATACCATTTTCTGTCAATGATGAAAACAACTTATAAATTTCAAATATATCTGTTGATTGACAATCCATTTTTCAATATGGAATACTGAAACATTTATGATACATCTTTAAATTAACGCTGTGTCTAGAGCACCGAGCACCGGCGCCACTGGTCTGGAGTACTGGACGCCCGGATGGATAATAGAGCACCGGGCGCCCGGTAACACTGTAGAGTAGCGGGTCACACTGTAGAGTAGCGGGTCACACTGTAATTGTAAAAATATGATAATAATCATCGAGATCACGATTTAAGATATACAGGTTGCCCATCGGCATATAAGGTGAGAACCAAATTGAGTTCTTTGTGGTKCTGGAAATTACAGTAAGCGCTCCATGTGAAAGAAAAGTTAACTACCGTATCGCTGCCGGTTGCCACATTGCCTGCTGAATTTTAAATTTTCTATTTTCAGTTTCGTGTAATAAATAATAATTACAAAAGAATTATTCTTTTTACTAATTTAATTTTACAATTTTATATTATTTCCCAAACATTTAAGATTTTATTGAAGTCT